AAAAAAAAAAAAAAGCTAAGCAAAGCAAAGTTGGAGGGCACGTGCCCACCCCAGCCCCCTTGTGTCCGCCAGTGAATGTTATGCAAGTATTTTTTTTCAAGTAGTTAATTCGAGCTACTATTTCTTATCAGATTTATTGTATTATTCTATATAAGCTTCAACATTCAATGAAATGAGTTGGGGCCTTCTTTTCGATTATGTAGGGATCTAAACTCAAGAGGTATGATTTTGGGTTAATTATGTCAATGGCCATTGAAGTTTTAAGTAGCCACGCAGTGGTCATTTTATTTGTTGTAACAGAAACTCCACTTTCTAACTGTTACACTAGCGTTCATAGAATGATTAAAATTAAAACCTACATGAAAATGTTAAATGCCATTTTCTCACAAAACTACATTATTTATTATATGAAGTTAGCAAAATTGGGAAGTGAGGAACTGTGAACTAAAATGAGAACCATTGTTTGGTAGAGATTAAAATTAAATTTTTAGTAAATTTTGATAAAAATTGATAAAATATGTGGTTGAAAAGTTGTGGATTTCACGAAACTCATGTTTGACACACAATCTCTAAAAATACATTCATTCAAAACTGATTTTCAACCCCACATTTTTCAATAAAATAATATTTTAACCACATATTTTTCATCATATCACTATTTAAATACATTCTTTCATCAATAATATCCATCAAACACACCTAAATAACGTGACCGTAAGAATCTTGATTGACAATTATAGTAAAAAACAAATAAACCGTGTAATTAACCCTATGATGAACTCAACAACTTTACTTTTAGACAGGTTTCTATCGGTTCAGTACTGGGACTTTAATTTCAATAAATCTTGCCACGACATGTTGATGGATCTCGTAGTGCCATTTTACTTCTGAATGAATCAAAACAAAATTAAATTGACTTCTTGTCCAATATTTTACACCTACACGGAGGAAATTCGAGTTGAACCGTTGCCAAATGGTAAGCATAAAGGGTTCAAGGGAATTGGTCAAGTAAATTACCCGAGTCGTTCTTTTACTAATGGAGCTTCAATGGAACTCTTTTAATTCAATGCCCAAAGTTCCAAATTCATTTTACTTCAACTATTGTCATCATATGGAGTTTAAGTCTTTATTTTTGACCCAATCAACTGAAAACACAGAATTATAATTCGTACTGTGTCTAAATGTATTTTTGACTAAAAATGGGGTTCAAACAATAGGTTTCATTTTTTTTAAACCAAAGAAAAGGTTGAAAATGCCAACAAAAATAAAGCCCAAGAAAGGTCCATTCACTCTCTCATGATTTCATATGGTTTCGCATCAACGAAACACAAAAGCTGTCGAACGATGATTGAAGAGAAAGAAAGAAAAATTAGATTTATGATTGTTTTGTGTGATAAATATATTA